CTTGGATTTTTTTGGAAAAGGGGGTGTTGTTGTTGTTGTTGTTGGAAGACTCACCTTCAAAAGTGAGTAAACTGATTTATGGCATGGTGAGTTGTTTGATGAGTGATAAAGCCTGACGAAAAAGGGTCACTTTTGTTTGGGATGTTTGACAAAGTCGCAATGAGTGCAGGGCGAGAGATGTCTCAGGGTGGGTGGCTGTTGGCTCTGATCAAGTCAGGGATCACGGCCTGGTGGATTTAGCGGTGATTTTGTTTGTAAGCGTGCGAAGGATGCCATGCCTAGTGAGGGAGGGCTGGTAAATGCCTTCGGACCCCTGCGTATTGCGCAGTGGGCCAGTGATTTTGTTTTGCGACGCCCCGTTTAACCACTAGTGCTAATCCTGAGACATGTTGAAGAAAGGTCAAGCTAACGGAAAAAGAAGTTAGTACCTCTAGGGCGTAACACCATTGGATGGCTGATAGCCGGCGCAACCTGGCTGAGGGACCGCGGGGTAAGAGTTTAAGGGGGGTGCCCGCCCAAGTGGAATTACTCTGCGGGATAGTGATGGTTGATAATTTTTTTGGGGAATCCTGATTGAATACTTATAAGGAGAAAACCTATCGTTGCGTAACCAACGAGGGTACTACCGTTAAATAACAATGCGGTGGGCCGTGGTCCTAGTCCGATCAGCCAGGCTATGGTGGGCCAAGGTGGGAACCTAGCCTTTCTGTACTAGACTGCAGAAAGAGCTGAGCGGATATTAAGTATACATATATGCTTATGTGTATTTGATTGCGAGAGACCTTTTTGAGAAGGAAGGCGAGAGTGCCTTCAAAGGTCTTGATTAAGGCCCGCGTCCCTAGTTTTTGCCAGGACTAGGGACACCCAACGAGAAGCCGAAGGTTTCTAGGACCGGGGAGAGGACGATTGGAAAGGTCCTTGGAACTTATGCGGTCAGCGTCCTAATTTCTGGCGGTGAGAGGCCTGGGTTAGAAGCCTGGCAGCATATAGTTGTGAAGGCATGGTTTGATGGAGGCCTCTACCTTGTGTTTGTCGGCTAATCGGATTGGCTCGTTTTCCATCAGCATTTGGAGTTTGAGTGGATTTATAGCTTTCTGATTTGGCGAAGCGACGGGGACGTCGCTTAATATAGTCCGGTAAGCTGTCGGTGCGAATACCCCTACAAGGGTATCCGCCGTGTTTTTTTTTTTTTTTTTTTTTTCCAAGTAACAGAAAATAGTTTTGGTTTAAAGTTTAAGTATACCGCGCTAGGTGCGGCTGCGTCTGTGACTTACATTGACTGGATGGTTGACTATGATAGAGAGTGTGTGGGCTCGCAGGTTTGAGGCGCTCGTGATTCCGTTTCTATCGTTAATTATAAAGCCGACTCGGCCATCGGTCGTTTTGTCTAATGATATTAGAATTATTTATTTATTTCTGATTAAGTAGGAAATAATGATACTTTTTTTTTATTGCTACGTTTGACCGAGTCGAGTGCGCGTGCGGAGAACGACCCCGACGACGGCATCGGCAACGACGGCGCGACTTCGTGTGGTGAGCGGGGTGTCGTAGGATGGCGCGCGGGGCAATTATAGCCCAGTATAAGCAAGTCGGCGCGGGCACTGGGAGCCACACAGCCGGCTTGTTGGCCCAAAGCGTCGCGCCACACTGCCTTGTATGGTACTCTGCGGGTGTTGGTTTCAAGCTTGGGCATAGCCCTATAGGTTACGACGACGGAATGTTACTATGGAGATTCGGGGATCGAGGCCAGCAGGCGGCGGCGCGACGGCGGCGGAGCAGCGTGGAGCGAAGGCTTGAGGGGTTGAGGGCCCTGTGGGGCTATCCCCCTCGGTTTTGTTTTCTAGCGCGGCAGCGGGCCGATCCGTGGGACTGATGAGGTGCCAGCGGCCTGCAATTTTTCCCCGATGAGGTGCCATTCGGGGACGCGAGCTCGTGCGAAGGTGTGCTGTATTCGCAGGGTTGTCTATAGTGCAATTACAAACTGTTTTTCGTGATTGCGCCGCGGTGCCGAGGGTGTGGCATGCACCCAAGAGCCTAGGTTACTGGGTACGCCCATGAACTGCTGAAATACAGACCCGTGTTTTGAGCCAGTTGATGGGGCCTAGTAAGTGAAAACAACTTTTTTTAATTTCGCATGGGCCTGCGCATGCGTTAAATTGCTGCAGAACGTGGCCCTGGACTGAGATCCTTCGGGACATCCGTTAAAATTAGAACGATACAGAGGAGATTAGCATTGGCCCTGCGCAGGGGTGACACAAATAGACCAAGACTGTGTTTCGGGTTCTCATGTTTTTTTTTTTCCCTTTTTGACGTTGGCGCGGTCTCATTCCCGTTTCGCCTGCTCGCGCGGTCCGGACGGCGGAGGTGCTACTCCGTGATAACAACAACACGGTGGAGGAGACGAGGAGCGGAGTACCGAGGGTGACTGAGCTAGCCGGGCAATGGACAACAAGAAGGGAAAAGGGTGGGCCATGAGTGAATCGGGACGGCATATGGGGTTAGATACATGCCGAGTAGATGAGAGGTGGCGAGGGAAGGAGTGACGAACAGTGGGTAGCGGGTGACCGACGGTAGGCCGGTGAGGCGCAATCGGGGATGAAAGAGAAGGCGGGGAAGAGTGAAAGTAAAGGAATGAACCTGGCACGGTTCCGCGCCAGGTACGTGCAACAAAGGAGATGGTGGAAATTGGCCGTGGCGGGGCCGAAATTGGTGTGACTGCCGATTTCTTAGTGAAATCGGGCATGGGAAGAACCCATCTGGGGGTTTGTGGGCCGGGCGACCTCGGCTATGAAGTTAGTTTTAGGTGAAAGATTAGTAGATAGAGAAGTTAGTAGAAAGTGGTTGCGCGGAGCCGTTCGAGGAGGGATATGGCAGGGAGCGAAGATCGAGTATCTCGCTCGTTTCTTGGTGAAATCAAGCGAGGGAAGACTCGTTTTGGAGGTTTTGGGGGCGGAC